ACACAAGATTATGTAGAAGATGTCCTGGACTCCCAAGAGGCTGGAGTGATGTTCATAAGGGAGGGATACAGACAGTCCTAAAGGTAATAGAATTTGATTAGCAAGAAAATAAGTTTATTCTAAATGAAGAAACATGATCAAGATATTAAAAGTAGGGATACCCATTGCATCCCCTGGCAACAATGGGAGACCAGTGTAGATTCCTGAGAGCAAGTGTCCCAATCCAATCAGCTGGAGGACTTATGAACATACAGGGTGCTGGGCCCCACCTCCTGAGATTCTGATTCATTAGGTCTGGGCAGGAGCCTAAGAATTCTCAATTCTAACAAGTTGTCAGGTGATTCAGAGGCTACAGAACCACTGCATTAGAGAAACTGTGGTTAACAGAGCTGGAAAGGTAATCTGGGGCCAGAACAATGAGTTCTAATTAGCTTAAACAATTCCACAGGTCAATTAACTTCATTAGACTGAAAATATTAAAACTGTATAAGAGAATAAGTGATATATATGAACCTTTTTTATGTGTATCTTTTTTTGTTCTCTGCTTAGTTAAAAACAAAAATACAAAAATTTATTGTAATCCATTTGTATAACAACAATAACATTTTAGTTTTGCTTTTAAAATTAAAAATTTATATAAATCAGTTTTAAATGATTAAATCTATTTCAATAAAGTATTTATATGTTTTAGAGAAGGATGTCATTTGTAATTTTGCTAAAGTTACCATCAAAGGGAAGTTAGCATATGTTTGTTAGTTTAGGATGATCAGTCCTGCAAAAAGGTTGATTTTTTTACACTGGTTTTTGTAAATATAAGTAAATCAAAATGCTATTCCTTCTGTTGCAGTTTCTGTTGAGTTTTTGAGAAAAAATTTTGGCCTTCAAGAAGACTTGAGATACTTATTTACCGATGTCCCAAAGAAAAGATAATCCAAAGTTATAAATTCCTGGGACTTCTTTAAGTATTGTGCCAAGTTCACAGGCCAGCACCTCCATCAGCATGCCCTTCTTTGTAATCTACTCACAAAGAGATGTTATTTCTCTGAGAATTTGCTTAAAGTAATCCTAGCTCCTAGCCTTGTGTCTCTAATTTTTCCCATGTTAAAAGTACTTTCTTCTCCAGGCATAATAACATATTAAAACATAAACTATTCCTATAGTGTGAGATTAAAAAGATATGCAGATTATAAAAGACAAAGAAAGGCTATGGAAACATTCCAAATGAGGAGCTATTAAGTAACAGCTTTATGCAATTTCTAGTCCTAAACTGTATCCTGTCCTATAGGGACCAAAATGCTATGTGGGACAACCGGTCAGTGGACAGAACTGAAATATAGATAGCACTTTAGATAAATGCATTGTTTGTGTATAAATTGTGAATTGTTAACTGTATTGTAGTTATGTAAGAGAATATTCCCATTGCTTCTTGGCCTTTTGGCTAAGATCAACTGAAGAGAATATCCCTACACCTAGGAAATGCACACTAATACATTTAGGGGCAAAGGGCCTTAATATATGTACTTATATGCATGGTTCAGAAAAAAAATTATTTCAAAGAGGAAAACAACACAAATGATTTTGTAAAAGGGTTAAAATGTTAATCATAGGCAGAGCTGGTTAAAGGCTTAACAGATGTTTCTTGTACTATTTCTGTTATTGCAACTTTAAGTATAAATTACTGTCAAATGAAAAAGCTTTTAAAAAAGTACAGAAAGCTAAAATATGTAAATTTAAAAGTTTCCTTTAAGACAGCAGATTTCCTTTGAAATTGTACTCTTGAAGTTGTACTCTCAAAAAGCATTTCTGTCATTTCACCTAAATATTTTTTTAAAAAATAAGGCCAGGGGCAGTGGCTCATGTCTATAATCCCAGCACTTTAGTAGGCTGAGGCAGGCAAATTTCTTGAGACCAGGAGTTTGAGACCAGCCTGGCCAACGTGACGAAACCTGGACTCTACTGAAAATACAAAAATTAGCCAGGCGTCATGGCGCATGCCTGTAATCCAGCTACTCAGGAGGCTGAGGCACGAGAATTGCTTGAACCCAGGAGGGGGAGGTTGCAATAAGCTGAGATTTCTCCTCTGCCCTCCAGCCTGAGCAACAGAGCAAGACTCTGTCTCAAAATAATAATAATTATATATATAGCATTTAGAATTATATATATAGCACAAGAAACACATTTTGTGATTGAGTTTAGTTTTCTGTGACCATATCTACAAAATATTACTGATAATTTATACTAAAATGCATGATTATGCTGTTATCACGAGTTACATAAATAATATGTTTACTAGTTATTAGAGCACTTGAAAAAATATCAGCCAATTCATAGTCAAAAGATTCAGGAGATATATGCAAATACTTGGAAGAAAGAAACTAGGGGAAAAGTAAAGTACAAATAAGATTCTAATGTGAGCATTTTGTCATTGGGGTAAAAATGAAGGGAAAAGCCATGGTAATGCTCTTCAAATTGTTCTCCCATTAATTTATGGTAGAGTGATTTGGTTTTAATGAAATCTATGTTATCACTTGAGCCAGTTTGTAAATCACATTTTTGTATTAGTTTTTTCTTATTGGGCTAGCTCTGTTACATTTATATTTTTTAGCCATGATTTATGTTTATCTCCTTGGACAACGTTCACCTTTCCAAGTATTCCTGCCTGGAATTGCATCTTTCTCTCTCAACCTATTTAATTCTCAGTAGTCTAAATCTATATATTGCCAAATTACAGATGTTCTCTACATGTTGTATTATTAATTCAACTATTTTATTTAATGTTGCACTCCTCTAAGGCAGGGTTTATCGTCATAAATGGTATTAATAATGAGGATCATAGGTAATCAAATGAAATTAAATGAAATAAATTAGTTTTTTACTTTGTTGTTCGTTTTTACTTTTCCATGCTGAAATTAGTTTCCATTGGCTACATTTTAATCCCACTCAGCCTAAAATTCTTTTTTTTCCCTTTTGAATAAGTTATTGGAGACTTGATAGGCTTTTGATCGTTACATAGATCTCAGTACATGATGCGTGCAGCATATTTTTCTATTAATAATGCTTTTATTTTCTTCCAAGTAGAGACACTACCTCAGGCACAAGTTAAATAATATAATAAACAAGCAAATAAATCAGTGATTAAAGCAATATAAAATCAGTCCCCAAATTAAAAAGCTAAGTGACTGTGCATTGTGAATGTCCACCTAAAGAGACTTAACTCTGAGACATCAAAGTCTGTAAACCCCATCAGGTAGCAGGGACATGAGATGGGAGAGAGCGCTAGAGGAGCTGATTCCTCAGTAACCTCAGTAACTTACTGACTTCCTCCGTAACCTTACCTCAATAGGCCTTAGCAGAATACTGTACAACTTTGTAAAAAACAGTTACTTGGAAAGGATATCTGTATTCCCTTCATTTGCTTTTTCATTGATAAAAATTTATTGGTGCTTTTATGAATCCAGAGTGTTGAGAGCTTTATAACTCTTGGACTGAAGTTTATGCTGAATAAAGGCTCTTACGTATGTATAAAGATGAGAGTCTCACATTTAAAATACTCTGTATAATAATGGACTACTGTTGATATGCTTATTTTTCTTTCCTATGACAGCAGTCATAATTAAGTAAATAAGTCAAAGCTACATTTTTAAAAATTGATGTTATAACATTACAATCTGAAATGGGGTCTCTTGCCAATACTATACATTTTCTTTTTTTTTTTTTTTGCAACAGTGTCTCGCTCTGTCACCCAGGCTGTCCCCGAGTAGCTGGGATTACAGGCACATGCCACCACGCCAGGCTAATTTTTGTACTTTTTTAGTAGAGACAGGGTTTCACCAGGTAGGCCAGGCTGGTCTCAATCTCCTGACCTCAGGTGATCTCCCCACCCACTAGCCTCCCAAAGTGCTGGGATTACAGGCATGGGCCATTGCACCTGGCCTATATATTTTACTTTTTTTTTTTTTTTTTTTTTTTTTTTTTTTTTTTTTTTTTTTTTTTTTTTTTTTTTTTTCTTTTTTGAGCCGGAGTTTCATTCTTGTTTTCCCAGCTGGAGTACAATGGGGTGATCTCGGCTCACCACAGACCCCTTTCCCAAGTTCAAGCAATTCTCCTGCCTCAGCCTCCCGAGTAGCTGGGATTACAGGCATGCACCACCACGCCAGGCTAATTTTATGTGTTTTTAGTAGTGACGGGGTTTCTCCATTTGGTCAGGCTGGTGTTGAACTCCTGACCTCAGGTGATCTGCCCACTTCGGCCTTCTACTGTGGCAGGCATCAGTCACGGCTCCCGACCTACATTTTCCTTTTTTTTTTTTTTTTGATACAGAGTCTCACTCTGTTGCCGGACACCAGGCTAGAGTGCAGTGGCGCTATCTCGACTCACTGCAACCTCCGCCTCCAGGGTTCAAGGAGTTCTCCTGCCTCAGCCTCCCGAGCAGCTGGGACTGCAGGCACACGCCACCACGCCCAGCTAATTTTGTGTTTTTAGTAGAGACAGGGTTGCACCATGTTGACCAGGATGATCTCGATCTCTTGACCTCATGATCCACCCACCTCGGCCTCCCAAAGTGCTGGGATTACAGGCGTGAACCACCGCACCCAGCCCATTTTCCTTTTTATAATTTCAACTTTATTTTAAATTCAAGGAGTCTGTGTGCAGGTTTGTTACATGGGTATATCACATGATGCTGATGGTTGTGGTATGACTCACTACGCAAGTACTGAGCATAGGACCCTGTAGTTTCCAGCCTTTGCCCTCCTCCCTCCTTTGTAAATATTTAATCACACAGAAGTGTGCAATTTAGAACAAGACACAGTTCAGATAATAACGTTGCAAGGGCCAGAGTAATTTTTTAAATAGAATCATATTCATTTTGAAGCCATGTGTCAAATTCCTCTGTTTTATCCAGATTGATGTAGACTTTCAACAGATAATAAATTTACTATGCCATACAAGAACACTTTATTTTGTGACTATTAATGGACTCTTGAAGTTTCTTTTGGCAGATGGAGATGGACACATGGATCATTTACTCCCAGGCTGTGAAGATAAAAATTGCCACAAAAGTACCATCTACTTAGTGAGATCTGGGACAAAGCAGGTATATCAACTTGTTTTTTAATGTAAACATTTTTTTATGTGCTTGAAAAAAATATTCAAAAGTTGGAAAAGATATCTGTACAGTCAAACGGAGGGAACCCCAAAATTAAGTTATTGACTTCTTCATTTTAACTCAATGAAATGCGTTTAAATATATTATTTTTTAATTTGTTGAGGAGAAAAGTATTGTTATAATTATTTCTCGTGAAGAAAACCCATTCTGTATACTATAATTAAATGATCTTTTAGCTTTTTATATGCCAGAAATATGGCAAAACACACTATAATAAAAGGTTACGTAAAAGAACATTTTATCTATTTTCGAAGCTGATCTTGTTTTTATTTGTGTTATCTAAACCTATTTTATTATCTCATGCTGACTTTTACCTGTAGCTTATAGGTAAGCAATTTAGAATCTGATAGTCACAGAGGAGGATTAATATGGGAATGATAGATTATAACAATCACATTAGAATTAATGTTTTATTTTCTTTGGAGGGTAATGAACGATAGAATAACATGTTGACTTTTATAACCCTTATGGAAAGGAAGCATCACATTTTGTGTGAAAACAAATCTTCATTCTGAAAGCATTTATCTGGCCAGTCTGAGTACAGTGGTGTTAAGTAATCACAGCCAGTTACAGATTTCCTTGTTTCTTCCCCACCCCCACTGCTTCACTTGACTAGCCTTAAACATGAAATAAATGAAAGCATTTAACTATTATATGTTTTATCTTGAACTTTTTTTAAAGTTTTGAATCACTTAAAACTTTAGGTCAAGTAACACTTGATCATTGGTTCATAGGTATTAGTAAACCTATGAATTATTGCCCATCAACAGACTACTGTAAGAATATTTTCAAATTATACAGTCATCTCTCTCTCCGAAGATAAATGTCACAGTTCTTTGGTGACTATTATCGGTGTCATATTAAGTGAAAAATCGTTTTACTCTTTAGGCCTTAATACATTTACCTTAACAGGAATACTTTATTCAGTGTGGTTTATCCTCTGTCAACCTCTTCAGAAATTTGTGATAACGTGGCATTTTGTGAAATTTCTCATCTACTAAGATAAAACCCACCAATTTTTTTTAATCAAGTGAAACCATTAAAACATTTTGATGATACATAAAATGATAGTTTTGTTCAAAGAAAAATTGAAAAATTATTGAAGAAGCATACCAATTTTTTTTAAAAAAACTCATTTCTATAAATATGTCTTCATCAAGTTTTCTTTTTCCCTGGTAAAGTATACTCTTTTTGGAAAAGATATAAATTATTGGAGATACCCTGTTTATTAACCTCTTTTCAAGAAACCATCTTTAATATAATTTGACTTGTAGCCATATAAATGAGTCACCTGCTTAGAAGGAAAGGAAAGGAATCTCTAGGCATGTTTGGCCTCCTGCCAGCTCAAGTCAGCTGTGCCTGCTTCTGCTCGACCATCTTCAGGTTCCATGCCAGCATTCATACTGAGCAAATTGTGGGCGCATCTGTAACTTTAATGGCATGGTTTCTACTCTTCAGATTTCTAGTTATTAAAAAGTTTAGATTTATGTTATCTGAAGAGAAAGGGATTTCCAAAGCTCATTTTGAAATCAGCCTATTCTTTCTGTTCTCTTCATGGTCATTAATATAGAAATAAAAGAATTTACTAAAAATGTAGCTTCCAGCCATTTTAGTGACAGAGCTCATTCTTCTTAGCTGAGAAGTGCCTGTCAGTTACTGAGGAAGCCTGTCAGGCCTGGTGTTGTTTGGAAAGCCTCAGGAGCTGCTCTGCTGGAAGGTAATGACTGAAGTCATCTGCATGTGTAAGACGCACAGCAGCCGAAGGAACAACGGGGTCTCTGTCATGTTCTAACTTTCCTCCTAAGTTGGTTCTCCTGAAAGGACATCAGTATTAGATGATATTACAGTTTGCTCATTTTTTTTTTAAATATTCACTTGAGGTTTTGTTTCTACGTGATACAGTTTTAAATTATGTAATCTGACTAGATGTGTACTAATATCAGTTCAATCCTAAGATTCATGTGATATTGTAAAAAACTTTCTAAGGCTATCTGTGCCAGTTCAGGCAAAATTAACTAGTGATAAATAGTGATAAATTCTAACGGAGACTACTTTTTTACTGTCACCTATTCATCAGAGTAAATTATACCCTACCATATTGTAGAGATAAAGAAGTAAAATGATGCTTATATTGAAAACTTAATGGATCGTTTGTTTTGCAAATTGTAAATTATTTTATAAAATAACTATAAAGTCTGACCTTTTTCTCTTAATCCGTAGTGGATACCAGTACTACAAGATTTCAGCAATAAGGGCACACTCTGGGGCTTTGTGCCATTTGTACATGAACAGCAACCAACTGAAATACCAATTCCAATCACCCTTCATATTGGAGACTACAATATGGATGGCTATCCAGACGCTCTGGTCATACTAAAGAACACATCTGGAAGGTAAGGAAATTAAATCAAGTGAGAAATATTTGTAAACTATGTCAGAAATATTTGCAAACCATGGTGTTTTGTGACTGGATAGTACCTAAATATGTTATAGTCTCTTAAATAAGGAATATGATGAGCTCAGTCCCCATTTTTTAATGTGGTCCCTGCACTTCTCCCAACTGCTTAGAATACCTGTTCTTTTTCACAGATTCATTATCTGTAAAACAATAATGAACATCCAGTAAAAAGTTATTTTTCACACAATAAAACTTAATCTCTTTTAAAGGTCAAAAGTTTTTATAGGCAGATGACCCAATTACATTTGGAGACGGAAGGCGCTGGTGTTTAAAAGCTGGCCCTAGGCTTTGATCGCAATGCAACCACTTACCATCTGTGTGACCTTAGTTATATTAGTCAAACTTCATTTATAAAATAAGTGTAATAATTGTACCTTTGTCATGGAGTTATGGTAAAGCTTAAATAAGGTAAAAGTAAATGAACCACTTAGGAAGATACTCATGGCTTACTGATTTTACTTTTAGTAAATGTTGTTACATTATTGTTGCTTGTTTTGTAATGACATTGGAAATTCCACCATGACTATTGATACTATTTGTATGTGTAAACTGTGTGTACATTATTGCTTTAGCAGTGATTTTTAATACTGCAATTACTTTAATTTTTGAAATAGAAGTTACAGTGGATAAACCAATATAAACTCATAATTAGCTTGAATCTTGGCAGATGCCATAAATATGACTATTCCCAAATTTGAATACCTTATTGTTTTATTTATCTCACAATTAATTATATTCCTTGGCCCTTATGCTTTATTCCCTTTTACATTATTTTTCTGAGCATTAATTAATGATTCAGCTCCATATTAAAAACCAGGCTCATGATACAAAACAAATTCCCCAGAAGAAGTCAGACCTGTTATTGCTTTTAACACTAAACAGTGTTGTCTAGAAATCTGATATTTAGAGAAAATGTGTCACTAGTGCGTGTCCCTAAACTATTTATAGAAAGTATGGAAAGTCTGTACTTAATATTCCTAAGCACGTTGATTTGAAATTATAATGGCCCTTCGTCATGTTTGTAGAATTTTCCAAGGACACGATCATCATGCTCTGTTATGCAGCGTTTAATATATGCTTATAACGTGTGTGTGTGAAACAAATCTGATATAACCAAAACAAACTTCTAAATGGAACGTGAGTGTTATTCCTTTTAAAAGCATAGTGTCATATAAGAACAAAGAAATGTAAAATTATTTTATTGGACATTGGCTCCATTCAGAAGAATATGAAATTACATTTTAAATTCATTAAATCCTGTGGTGACTCATCCTTAGAATATCTAAATAATTTCTATTTTACTATGAAAGTTATTTATCAACACTGTTTTGTTAACAGTTTTTTTGCCATTCAGCAGTACAGATGGTATCAGCTGCTAGCTAACTCAGCAGTGAACACTTTATCTCTGCAGGAAAAATAAGTACTAAAGGTAGTTGTACTTTTTAATAAAAGTCTTGATACCATTATGAAAGCAGTTGTTTAAAACTTAGTGTTTCTTTTCTGTTCTTTTGGGATAGATGAGAATGGAAGGATAGATTTCGGTTCATCTCAGTGTTCATTCCATCACAGATGAGAAGTAGCCCTAGCTTTAAAAGGAGTTGTATGTCTGGGAGAATCCAGCATAAGGTATACTTTGACACATAGAATATGTGGAAAGACATAGAAGGGCATGGAACATTGTTCTTCCTACATGAATCCTCTTTTATTGAAAAAGTAGGTTATAGTTTTTTACTGATTTCAAGACTATGATGTTACTGAGAATTAGTGCTGGAGTTTCTTATTTGAAGGGTTGCCACCTGGAGAATTCTCTCTCCTTTTTCCTGCAGATTTTGAAAATCAGGTAGGGATTAGCCATAGCTTGTTAACTTGTTTTGTGACTTTTGGCTTGAGAAAAGGGTTGTTTTGGTTTCTATTTGTTTTCCATTTTAAACTAAAGGCCTAATTTGTCATAAATTAATCTTTTAAATTCTGTTAAATAAAAAAGAGATCTACTAATGTCATTTTGTAGAGGAAGTGAGTGACTCTACACAACATGATCAGAGATCAACTGTTACCTCTTTGTCACCAAAAACTAAAATAAACCCTAGGCTTTATTTCTGTGGCCATCCCATTGTTAGTCAATTGCTGTTTTTCTGTCATGTTCTGTTCTATTTTTTATGAGAGAAGAAAGGCAAAGTGACATTTTTCCAATAGTATATTCTTAAATCAATAATAAAATATGATTCTATTTTTAGAAATTGTTTTGTAAATTTCATTTTTAAAGTAAAATGGAAAAGATGTTTTATTCTTTAAACCTTTAGTTGGGAACTAAAAAACTCTTTTTTTTTTTGAGACGGAGTTTTACTCTTATTGCCCAGGCTGGAGTTCCATGGTGGGATCTCTGCAACCTCCACCTCCCAGGTTCAAGTGATTCTCCTGCCTCAACCTCCCTAGCAGCTGAGATTATAGGCATGCACTGCCACGGCCGGCTAATTTTGTACTTTTAGTAGAGACAGGGTCTCTCCATGTTGGTCAGACTGGTCTCAAACCCCTGACCTCAGGTCATCCGCCCGCCTCGGCCTCCCAGAGTGCTAGGATTACAGGCATGAGCCTCCGTGCCCAACACAAAAACTTTCTGTAAAGGGAACTGAAGGATAAATTGTAATAAAGAAAATCTAGGTGCCATTTATCTAATTAAACTGTGATTCTTATGAATTTCTAATCACTATTATTTTTTAATTAACGAGTTACGAGAAAAACTAACAAAAAGTTTGAATTTAAGTAAATTTTGCCAAAATATGTAGGATATTAGAAATTTTATGTATGCATTTATTAGAAAGAATTTTCCATAAGTGCTCCCCTACTGTCATAGGTAAATTAAATCTGAATATTAGAGTTAATATTACATTTCTGTAGAAAAATTTGACAAATCATATTGAAATTAATGTTCTAGACCTTGTTAGGTCATTTTCTAAAATTCAAAGACTGATTGTGATTTCCTAGTAATAAATAAATATTTGTTTAACACTGGTACTATAGAATTTGTGCTAATAATATATCATTATGTCAAGCACATAGTGAATATTTCTTCCTTCTTTTGAGACTTTAACCTTGTGGCTGTGTTTAAGAGTGTGACTCCTAGTCTACATTCTGACTATTCTTATCACCTTTGTATGATACAGTCAAAATGTTGACATATTTAGGAAGAGTTCTATTGTTGCTAATATATTGCAAGTCATGGGATGAAACTGGATAGCGAAACCTGAGTTGGGATTTTATAAGAGTTCCAAGTCTAGAAGCAGCTAAAAATAAAGAGCTTTTGGCAGCAAAGAAGCACACTCAGAAGTCTGAGTATCAGCCATGAGAAAATTCAAAAGCTGTTAAATGGCAAGCAAATCTGTAAATGCCCAAATTTAATATATTGCTTGTTAATGCTGGGAAGAAAATGGCTTTTGTTTATAAAGTGATTTTAGTTTGTATTACTTTACCATCATTTTTCATAGGTTGGTTATTATCTTTATTTTACAAATATGAAAATAGTCTGAGATAAATCAGACAACTTACCCAATATCATATAGCTAGCAAGTTGGAATCCCTAATTCAGTTATAGTCTGCATTTTCATCAGCATCATCAGCTTTTTAGAATAATTTACCTTTACATTAATGACCCTGACTCATCAATGAAAGGTTACATTATGTTGCAGATGTTCTACTTTTTAAAAAGGCAAAGAGGTTGGTAGTACAAGGGCCTACATCTGTGGGAACATTTCTAGCCACTCTTCTTTTTCATTTTCTCTGTGAAGTATAGATGCCAGTGAGGCTGCAGAGAAAAGGGAACAATTATACACTGTTGGTGGGAATATAAATTAGTTGAGTCACTGTGGAAAGCAGTTTGGAGATTTTTCCAAGAACTGCCTTTCGACCCAGCAATCCCATTATTGGGTATATACCCAAAAGAAAATAAACTGTTCTACCGAAAAGACACATGCAATGTATGTTCACTGCAGCACTATACACAATAGCAGAGATGTGGAATCAGTGTAGGTGCCCATCAGTAGTGGATTGGATTTTAAAAATATGGTATAAATACATTATGGAATGCCATGCAGCCATGGAAAATAACAAAATCATGTACTTTATAGCAACATGGATGCAGCTGGTGGCCATTTTCCTAAGTGAATTAACACAGGCACAGAAAATCAAATACTGTACTTTCTCACTAATAAGTGGGAGCTAAACAGTGAGTACACATGGACATAAAAATTCCAACAGTAGACACTGGGAGCTACTAGAGAGGAAGGCTATCAAGAGTTGAAAAACTATTGGGTACTGTGCTCAGTACTTGGGTGATGGGATCAGCCATACCCCAAAACTCAGTACCATGCAGTCTACCCATGTAACAAACCTACACATGTACCCTGTGACTCTAAAATCAAAGTTGAAGTTATAAATATTAAAAGAAGAAAGAAAGAAAGAGATGCTGGCCTGGATGTAAACTCGTTCCATCTCATTGATAAAGAAGAGCTCATATTGCTCTGTTGGGTAGCCTTCACTCAGTAACCAACTCCAATTTCATTAGTTGGAATTCGTAAAGATTAAAAAAAAATTCTGCAATAATATTGCGTATTCGTCTGCTATAATGAATCCCATGCTAAAATTCTTAATCCCTTAATAAAATTGAAAAAAAAAAAAAAAAAAAAAAAAAAAAAAAAAAAANAAAAAAAAAAAAAAAAAAAGAAAGAAAGAAAGAAAAGAACTCCACTAAATAGTTCTGAGGTAAAAGACCTCTGTAGACAGAATTAATTCTACCATTAATTCCAAAGGAGATACAGTAAAAGATATATTACATATTATTTATTTTATCAGCAATTTTTAATTAAAGTATTAATACCCCTACAAACTAAATTTATTAGTATAAAGTTGCATTTCTTTATAACTTTTAAATATTCTTTAAGTTTTTTAAATACAACTCCACGTTTT